AGTGCCATTTCATTATAGTTAAAACTGAATCAATAAAGTATATTAGGCGCACGGAAACAGAAAAACAAGAATTCAATCATTTGAACAGTTGTGACAGTGTAGGAAAGAGTATAGAGTCATTCATTTTTTTCTAAAGACCTTTAGAGAGTGGAACCATCTGCCTGACTCGATTATCAAATCTCATCAAATCTCATTATGCGTGAATTCTTTGAACTCAGCTAAATCCCTAAAATATTTTGTCATACAAGTAAAAAGATCATATCATGTGTAAACATTTCATCTTGATCATATCTGGGACATAATATATTGTATAATAGTCCCAGATCATATATGTTAATATATCTGATTAGCTGAAATCATGTCTTGTTCCATGTATGACTTGCAGAAGGTGGTCACCGACAGCAGATAAATCTACATATATTCAAATAGAGATACTTTATAAAGCTAAGAAGATGTGGATATGGTTGTCATAGAGACAACTATCCTGCAAATGACTTTTTTTGTGTGAACTGTCCGCCGACGGTACTTCAGTTTCCTCCACCATAAACACGGATTCCACTGTACCCTCGCAGCTCCAGGGATGGAATCTACGTACATACATCCTACTCGGTCGTTATTTGACAAGTTTGACAATATTTCCGGCGAAGGCATAGTGAATATTTTACTGAGAGAATCAACCAACCTTTCTATCCATACGTAGTCAAAGATTTCAATGACCAGCAAATTTGATTCATACTCTAATGAATGTGCTGTAATATAATGAACCGAAAGTCATTAACCGTGGCCAACAAAAAACAGATATTTCACATTTCATTGAATTAATATTCTAAAACCAGTTGTTAACATGGTACGGGTTATGTTCTTCTCGTATAATTTAAGATGGTATGCTAATAAATACCTAACGGGAGAGACTGTGGTTGATTTTCATATGTTGAGAACATAATCTTCGATCAGTTTAATTAAGGTCTGTAGCTGTCAAGGCAGTAACGGCTAGTAGTCCTTTGTTAATTACGTTGATCATTGTCATTTTGCTTTGTTTCTTCTTTAAACTGTGCGTTTTGCTTTTTACTGTGTGTTTGTTTATTCCACATTGGCCAGAGGTATAAGGGGGGGGGGGGGGGTTTGAGATATCACAAAACAAGTTTAACCCTTCCGCATTTTGCATGGCGCCTGTCCTAAATCAGGAAACTCGAGCCCTTGTTAGTCTTCTGTGTTATTTTAATAAGTTTTGGTTCATTTGTAGGTTTCGGAGTTTAATGTGGCGTCTATTTCGCTGAACTAGTATACATTATTGTTAAGGGGCCAAATGAAGCCGCCTCCAGCGGGGGGATTTTCTCGCTGCGTTGAAGACCCGTTGGTGGCCTTTGGTTGTTTTCCGATCTTTGGTCGGGTTGTTGTTTCTTTGATTCATTTCCCGTTTCCATCCTTTATGCAATGCATTCGTTCAAAAATAAACCCCAAAAATATTAGACAGAGATTAAAGGTGATGAAATTTTATTCAGAGCTGCTAAATAACTACGTGCATTGCTGTTTTCTCAATTTCTTAAAACACATATATCACCATCTTAATATTTCACTTTTATGGCTGAAGGTAAACATTAGGTATTATTTATACGAAAATTGGAAAATGGGGATAATTTTCATAAAGGTAAATGGAGTCTCAATTACTCTATATTGTGATAAAAGGGAAAAATTGTCGAAGTTGATTGTCGGCTATGTATGGAATGCATTCGTTTTCATAATAAGCATTATTACTCATATGTTATTGTGAGTTTTTAAAATTGAATTGACCATTTATAGAAAATGCTTCTATTTTTAACTACAGAATAAAACTCTTTTCATATATATACGAAATAAAAATTTAATATTTTAATAATTTGTATTTCCTTACAATTGCAAACACTTAACAAAAATACTTGAAATTGGGTGAAAAGGTACATTTTAAGAATAAATTGATTTGTATGTGTCCGGGTTATCGAGTAAATAAACAATTATATTCCAGTTAGTTAAAATGTGATCTGCAAGTGCATTTTACGTTGGGAAATGCTTACAATCTTTCCTCATACTAGGAATGGAGTATAAGTACTATATGTGCATGTGTTAGTATAACTAGTGAAGATGAATCCGATCTTGCATATACAAAAGTATGTTTATCTTGAAAAGTTGTAAAATGTGTTTTATGCACCTAATCTTCGATGAAGATTTTTAATCCCTTAGTAAGAAGAATATCAAACCGATATCCCATTCGTTTTTCTTTCAATATGATAAACGGACCAATATGGTAAGAAAAATTTCCGTGCGCAGTTACACGATGTAAACACATGTTTGAAATTATGTTAGGTTTCTGTCTACCACAAAAAGTCATAATTAGTAAATCAGGGAATAAAAGCCCCTGGTAACGGGTTATCTACCCGATTCGCATGAGAAACAACTAATCAATACTTGTCAACCCATGAATGCACAAAAAAGGCATCTTCGCTATCCAAGTGTTACGATCCTAAGAACTTTCTGCTACCTCTTTACAAGACAAAATCGAATAACATGAAAGTTCCAACTATATGTACTGGCTTAAGAAGCTGCACAAAACATCGTAAAAATATTAATTTATTTCGTCTTCAAACCATTGTTTCACTACTTAACTGTCTATTCTAGTAGCTAGTACACTTGGTACAATCAAAAACCTGGTAATAAATTTTTCAAATAAGGTCTACGAAAATAGTGTCAAAAATTCGTTGGAAGTACTTGATAAATTACATGCTCATATTGGTGCTTTTGAATCTGTTCAAAGTTTAGAAATCACATACCTAATTAAAAGTGCATTTAAAAAGTCAGAATGTGAATACTAGTATATATGTTCCAACTCTTTTATGTCATTTTTTAGTAACGACAAACGAAAGAACTATGTCAATTGAACCTGCTTTGATATGATAACTGTACTCGAATTTTTACTACATAACTTTTTTGTTCGCTATGGAGATTCCGTATATCGTCAAGTTTTCGGAATTCCTATTGGGACTAAATGTGCACCACTCATTGTGGACCTGTTTCTGTATTGTTACGAATCATAATGTATGTCTAAAATCAGCAAAGACCCATCGAAACAACATCTGATACAAAACTGTAATAACACTTTTAGATTTTTGGATGATATTTTGGCTCTCAATAATGACGACTTCGGTATGTACACTAAAGAGATTTATCCTGTTGAACTTACTTTAAATAAAGCTAACACTAACAATGAACACTTCCCTCCCTGGATCTTGATATTTATATCACTAACGGGAAGCTTAATACTAAAATTAACGATAAAAGAGATAATTTTCCATTTCATAGTGTTAATTATCCGTTTCTAGATGGTGACGTTCCTCTCGTATAACTCTTAATGGCATGATACTAAACTCTTAACGGGAGGGGTTAAGGTTGATTTTCATATGATGACATAATCTTTCGGTCAATCTAATTGAGGTCTGGAGCTATTATGTCAGTAACTGCCAGTAATCCTGGTGTCCTGAACCTTTTGAGCATTGCAGGTGTTCAAAATAGCAACCTGACGTTTTTTTTTCAGTTATCCACTCCTCGGCAAATGACTAAGGCAAAGTTCTGAATCGAACCTGGCTCAAATAAAAGGTATTGACCGAGTGCATTGCTAACTTAAATATTGATCTGAGATCCTGAACCTTTTTGGCACTACAGGGGATCTAAGTGGCAACTAAACGTATATTTTGTTTACCCGCACTCTTACGGTACTCCTCATCAATTACCTACAGAAATGTTATGGCTTGTACTTGGTTCTTATGAAAGTTATTGACCGAGCGCATTGCCAACATAGATCAATATGGTGCTGGGATCCTGAATCTCTCTGGTTGCATCGTCACATATAGGTAAAAGATTGATTTGATAATATTTATATGAGCGGGAAACGATATGCATAGTGGTAAATATGCATAAAAAAGAAAACATGAACCCGCGGTATTTTGTGTTCTTTGAAACATTATTAGATATAAGAAGATGTGGTATGAGTGTCAATGAGACAACTCTCCATCCAAGTTAAAATTTGTAAAAGTAAACCATTATAGGTCAAAGTACGGCCTTCAACACGGAGCCTTGGCTCACACCGAACAGCGAGCTATAAAAGGCCCCCAAAATGACTAGTGTAAAACCATTCAAACAGGAAAACCAACGGTCTAATCTATATAAAAAACGAGAAACGAGAAACACTTATGAACCACATCAACAAACGACAACCACTGAAAATCAGGTTCCTGACAACTTTATAAACAAATCATATAATAACAGTATAATATACAACAAAGTATTTTAACACAAAAGTGTGTAATCTTTTTCACTTTAGGTAGTAAATGACAGAAGCCACTATAACATATCGTTGTAAATTTAATCGTCTCATTGCCACGCAATGTCTTCAAAGGTATAGAACTACTAATTCGGGCTAGGTCACAATGAACATACAAGAAAGAAGTACATATTCTAAACAAAATAGGTGATCACAGTAGAACTCTTGTTGAAAGCATTTCTTGAATAATAACATTAATATATAAAATGATGATAAGAGTGCATATGTGCCCTGTTGCTAAGATCAGAAGTACCTGTTTTCTATACTACCAAACTTCCGGGAACCAGTGCACTTTAATATGCAATTTAAGGTATACGTTGAATTTTTCAGCACAAGTCAGGATAAGGTATGTTTTATTATGAAATGGTTGCCACTTTATTTGAACTTAAGACAAAATATCTATTAATGCTTGAAATTGCATAATTTAACATAAAAAGCAATGGGCTATGAATTAGTGGTTTTATTCCTATGGCGCGCCGACGGTGGAAACAGTTATGAATATATAAGATGAGAGTCCAGGACTGTTCTTACAGTACTAGAGTAGACACCCGCATTCGAGATAAAATGGACAAATCATTCTTATGCTCATATTCTTTAACATGTATAATGAGCCGAAAGTCATAATCAAAGACGTATTTAGCAACAAAAATCAATATTTCACATTTATTGAATCAAAATTCATACATTCGTTTATAAATAAACTACAAAAATATTAGACAGAATGTAATGGTGATGGAATTTACTTCAGAGCTGCGAAATGATACGCGCAATACTTTTTTTTCCAATCTTGAAATTTCTTTTCATAAAACACTGAACATATCACCATGTTAATATTTTACTGTTATAGATGAAAGCAAGCTCGAGACATTACTTATACAAAACTTGGAAAAAATATGATAATTTTCACCACTAAGTATATTCTCAACCGTCGAAGTTGATAGTCGGCTAATGTATGTCATGCATTACCTTTTCATAGAAAATAAACATGAAATCTTAACAGATAAACAGACCAGGTTTTTCATGATTATAATGTTGCATTAGCTTGCACGACAATAGTGAAATGAAAATGTTTTCATTTTAATATATCCGAATTGTCATGGTAAACAAAGAAGGGGAGAAAAAAAGAAGGGGTCAATCTAAAACTGTAAGTCGGAAAAAACCTGGCAATACCTTGCATGACCAAAAGGATAAACGACAAAAGACAACAAGAGTCTTTCCTTGTCCTTCATATGTTTGAATCTGACCAAGGGTGACTCCGATACCCATATGTTACAAGGAAAAACTCATCTTAAAAGACTGACAACAATCCACGAAACACTACACCGTATCCTAAAGTTAAGCACATGATTTGAAGCATTTTTATTTCACACGAAATGTGGGAGAATACACTTAAAATAAAAATCTTGGAATATATTTGCTAAGAAATTGTCACGATCAGAGGGTGGGTGATTGCATTTATTATTTTCATTCAACGATTGTGCAAACATATGAGATTCGGTCAAAACAAATTCGATCTATCATAGAAAATGTTGACAAAAAAAAAAGATTTACAAAAATCGTCCATCGCAGGCCATTACTCGTAGGCGAAACAAGATGTATGTACATGAAGTAAACATTTGATGTTTTCATTGGTTAGTAAAATTAAGAAAAACCTTAAAAAACATATTAAGAAAAAACGGGAATAAACTATGTCTACCGTTCCATCATATATACCTGTAATAAGAAAATTTGCACCAGACACGCGTTTCATCTACGTAATACTCATGAGTGACGCTCGAATAATAAAATTCAAATAAATTACGAAGTTGAAGAGCATTGAGGATCCAAAAATTCCGAAATGTTTTGCCAAATACAGCTAAGGTCATAACTTATATATATATCGCGCATTTGTTAATTAATGTGTAGTTTGATCGTATTCTCTTTCTGTGTGGTCTTGTTTTAATATTACCTAATGTTGTATGACAGCAAAGGAGGGAAACTGGTTCGCTTCACACGTGAAATATTGGTTATTCGATTGGGAAATCACGGCAATTCATTGTAACCAATGTAATAATAAACTTGTGCATTCTTAACTACAAAACTACAAAAAAAAAAAAAACAAGTAACGACTGCGATTATGTATGGTTACAAAGATAGTATCGCATTTTCTCGTAATATACATTTTCTGTAGACAGAATGAATCCTACGTCACAGGGGCTGGTGCGTTCGACTCCAATCTTTATTGACTAAAATTGACTGTTTTCCGGCTGAAGATCGTTCGTTTTTCAACGGGCACTCGGGTTTCCCCTACCCATAAAACTGACCGTCAAGGCATAGCCAATTGCGCTGAAAGTTATGCTAAACACCAACAATCAATCAATCAGTCATATAGAAATAATGTTCTGTTGATATGTTGAACTTATATCGAGCTTTTATAATAGTTAAAAGAAACATAACAAAAACAAACAAATCCTCCATTCAATGGCATCATAGGTTCAAAGAAACAAATCATCCATCCATTGGCATCATCGGTTCAAATAAACAAATCATCCATCCATTGGCATTATAGGTTCAAAGAAACAAATCATCCATCCATTGGCATCATAGGTTCAAAGAAACAAATCATCCATCCATTGGCATCATAGGTTCAAAGAAACAAATCGTCCATCCATTGGCATCATAGGTTCAAAGAAACAAATCATCTATTGGAGTAGTTATTGTTGCTGTCAAGAAAGAAAACGTCAATTGGCATTTTAGCTGCAAATAACGCCTAATTTCGGAGCACTTTAAATCAAACCATACATGTGAGAGTTCTGCATGTTTTGCTCCTTATACATATCTCGTTGGAGTTCTGTTGTCTCTGTTGACTTCCGCTTTGGAATCCTCGCGAGAATTTGACTTGCTGTAGCGTCGGCTCTTTTGCGCTATGATAGGCGTCTGGAATACAACATTCCTGTTGTAGTGACTGTTCTGTCGACGGTGCTTTCTGTTGACATTAACAACGTAGTAGATGATCAACAGAATAAAGCTGACCAGTGCCAAGCCAAGCAGACCAACCAGTGTTAGGAACAACACGGATTCCGTAAGCTTCCCTTCGACGACCTTCGTCACATTAGCTCTGGCGGCTACAATAAATTAGGCAGAAAATATAAACCATGTCACAATTAGTCATGTTGGAACTCACGGGGTAAATGTGATCCTTTTGTGATATTTTATCTCAGTTAAAACGACTGTGATTTATATTCGGGAAGGGGGTGCTTTAACCTGGCGGACATGCAGCTGTGCTATACCTAATGGGTCTGTTATTTGATACCTTTGTCATTGGTGTTTGTGATTTTGGCAAGTTGGCAACGGCCATTTTTTAGAACATTACTCTGATGAGTTTTCTCCAAATTTTCGTCATTTTTCAAATGACGGTTCTACGACCATTCTTCTTCATAACACCTGCTTTTGATATCAAAGAATGAAAAGCACCTCGATTCTTTTTTATCCCGGAACATCGCATTTATCTACTTAGTTTCATATGCACGGTTGCAAATAATATCTGATGCAATTTTCAATGACGTCTAGAGTGAAAATGGTAAATAAACAAAATTGATGGAAATCATATTAAAATTTGTTCTGCATGTCATCCGATCAGTTAGTTAGTAGTCAATACTTCGGTACGGACGTGATTTATAACAAACCTTTCTTAAATTGTCCGTTTATAAATTTATAAATTATTAAGAAACTAAGGTTGCAACTCCCTAGCTTAGATGGATTTAGCTATTATTTTAAGGTCCTTATTGTTCATATATCTCTTCAACTGTTTCTGTTCTTATACATTCTTGGCTTTCAAATATTTGGCTTTGAGTGTTCCTAATGAAGGTAAATCTAGAAAAGCTCTTCGGACGCATGAAATTATTAAACGTGTTGTTTTCACTTTTTAGTGAGAAAAAGTGGTTTAATACATGATAAACGGGAGAAGTCAAATTTAAGAAATTTGCACCAAAATACACTGATTTTATAAAATCATGTTTAATAGTTGAAAAATTAATCGGTTTTACTAGTGCTTTAAAAATCATAAACCACTATAGATATGCAAGTTTGTTTCAGATAAATATTCTGACAATAGCGTTCATTGAAAAGTTCTTTCTACATTACGATTGCGTTGTGACCATTCAATGTAAACAAAAATATTTGCCAATTTCTCAAGGTTATCCTCCTCTAAAGTAATCCTTGAACAAGCAAAAAGGAAAAAAAACATAGATTTTTTTATTTAAAGCTAATAAAGCGAATAAATTTAGAGTAAACAGGACCAGGTTTAATAAATTATTAAAAAAACCGCTATGAAAATATGGTGTGTCCGAATCGCTTTTCTGAATTAACCTTCATCAGAAGGCTCAAACTAAAAAAACTTGAAAACCAAGGAGGTATTGAATACTTTAACAATTGGGGAGCTTTATGACCAAACGGGACGTGAAAGGAACAGCCTAAATTAAGGTCAACTTTTTCTGAGGAAGTTAGAACCTTAGTTTCTCAATAATTCTTAAGTGTATCAAAGCAGAATATAACAACGGTATGTTATAAATAGTATCTTCTCATCTGAAATGTATCTTTTTTGTCGAGTAGTTATGTAAACCTACCTCTCTTTCTTTCTCTGTCATTAATTGTCTTTTCTATATCATCTTCAATAAAATGAAAATAAAATTATAAACATGCAGATATGATTGAAAGTTAAACGAAAATGTCAAAATCAAAAACTGAAAATGCTAGCTGGGTGCTTTCTGGATTCTTCTTAACAAAAGCTTACAGTCCGCGGCTTTTTTCGTTTTTTGCCATCATGGCGTTGTCAGTTCGTTTTCAACTAATGAGTCTGAATATTCCTTTGGTATCTTTGGCCTCTCTTGTACAGAATGCCAAAGGGATATTTTCAATACAGGCGCAACTGTAATCAAAAGATCCCGTTTAAGACCTACTTTTTGTTTAGAGAATTTTGTTTTGCGTGTAAACATGCATATATTAATCAATCATATACAAAAGTTTTTATCTAAACATCTTAGTCGTAAAAAAGTACGAAGCAAATACAATGTAGCTAGATGAGCTTGTACTTTACTAACATTCACCAAAAAAAAAATGCAAGTTATTTATTAATAAAGTCTTACATCTTGTGAAAAGTTGTGAGAACTAACCTTCTGTGACGAAATGAAGAACTTCCAGATGAAAGCCCATCTGTTGCTGAGAACCATCAGATGAAAATTTGAGCAAAATTTCTGGCCCTTTTGACGTGTACAGACTACCGCTAGGCTTTGTTCCACAAACCTTTACCGATGTCCTATAATAGGTATAATAAACTGATAAAGCTTCTTTCCGCATATATTAGAAACAATATAGAACTAAAAGGGGTCTAATTCTAACGCAAATTTTCACTCTAGTTTTAATTCAAACCATTTGATATGACTCAAAACTAACTATAAGATAGAATTTACTAAGCTTATATAAATGCGTCATTTAAACTCTGGTGTAGAGTTGTCTCATTGGCAATCATACCACATCTTATTTGTATATTATCTCATTATAGATAAGAGTTTTGCTAAGGAACTATGCATCCCCTATGGAAGCAACGTATTAAATATTTTAGTACGATGTACTAATTTTATTCTAACATGCAATACTTTACTCAAAATTGAATATTTAAGATTTATAAAAAGCATTGTATCAACCGAATGAAGAGAGTACTGCTTATAAGTCGACGCATGGGTGTGAGGATGGAGACAGAGTGAGACGGGGTGAGGGTCTTGATATTGCTTTGAGGTATGTGGTCTTCAGATCATCGATAAGAAATTACAGCAGCTGCATGCCAAGCTTAAGAAGAACGCCAGTAAAATTTTTCTTCTTTTGGATATGGCTATTTTCAAGTAATTTTCACGATTTTCGTCTTATGTCATTTATAAATATAAGAAGATGTGGTATGATTGCAAATGATGAAACTCTCCACCATAGACAAAATGACGTAGGCGTTAGCAACTAAATGGCATCGTACGGCTTGCAACATTGAGCAAATGCCATACCGCATAGCAAGCTGGACCTCGAAATTACAACAATATCTATTCAACTTACTTATTTTCCTTGATTTCCAGGAAATCTTTTCTACAATCCAAAGAATTTTCCAGGAAGAATCGATCGATACTAACACTCCAGACCCCATAGTTGTGTTTAAATCTCCATATCTTTGTGGAATTTTGTGGGTAGTTGTCTGGGTAGTTTGGTGTTTTTACTTTAATGTCACTGCGATCACGGAGAATTTCTTCCGACTCTGCAGCTATTAAACAAAAAAGGTAAATAACGTTTTATAAATTTTAAAGATTATACCCAAGAGTTTTACAGTAAGCGACGCATTATACGTCGGTTACGAAATGTTTCTTCAACTGCGTAACTACGAAATGATCTTACACAATTGTACTTTAAATGTTTCATGTTTCTCTCAAAGAAAAGGCTATCTTGAAAAGAGTAGTATTTGCTAATACAGGCGTACAATACGCACGCATAACATTGAAATATTAGGTGTATATTTCATCATATTCATATCTATAATATCTCAAACCGGGAAAACATTTGATTTAGAAAAATTTTAACTAAGTTCGTAGCTCGATTTCAGTCATGTAGCTCCGATAAATATCGTTTACTTAATTTGATATACATTCGCCACTTCCGAGTTATGACTTTCCATATTTGTATTCTTTTTCGGTGCTAAAAAAGTTATAGTCGTCTGTCAAATTGTAACTAGTCTCATAAAACCTTCTACTACACGAAGAATTTAATCGTCAATTCGAGGAAAATGCTGTTATTATTATTATTATTATTATTATTATTATTATTATTATTATTATGTTGTTGTTGTTTTTGTATTATAAAAAACATTTACTTATGGCAAGTTTAAAATTACTCCATAAAGAATTCATAGCCGAGTATGTTAATTCCAAGCAAAAACAATAAATAAATATTACCCAAGACTTCGTGAAGAAAAACAACGAGAAATGTTAGAATCATTTTAAATCCAACTTTAAAAATCACAGTAAACATTCATGTCATCTCTCCCTCACATAGTATCATGAAATTTTAAGTACACTACTTTAATTACACTTAAAGCTTCGCTGTTATTTCCGTCAAATGGAAAAGATATATCCTGTGACAAATATTTCCGTGGTAAAATTCATATTTTGTGACATATTACTGGGCGCCTTTGTTTATAGAAAGGAATGAATGTAGGTTGTGATTTATTGATTATGAAAAAGAAAGGAAAGGAAATGTACAAGTTAAACCCCGCCGCATTTTTGCGCCTGTCCCAAGTCAGAAACCTCTGGCCTTTATTAGTCTTGTGTTCGTCCTAAATATGCATATTAATTTGCCGCTGGACTTGAAGCAGCCACCCATCATCATGTTAGTCTTGTATGTTTTTTAATTTTGGTTTATTTATATGTTTCGGAGTTTAGTGTGACATCCATTTTCTCTGAACCAGTATACATATTTGTTTAGGGGCCAGCTAAAGCCCGCCTCCGGGTGCGGGATTTTCTCGCTGTGTTGAAGACCCATTGGTGGCCTTGAGCTGTTTTGTGCTCTTTGGTCGAGTTGTCTCTTTGACACATTCTCCGTTTCCATTCTCTATTTTAGGACATTAAGGGAATAAGCTAATCTTAAAGAACACTGATGGTATTATCCTAGACCCTAGTCATAAGTGGACTTAAAAGTGGGATGAGTGGGAGGTTGGGGGCGGGGGGCTCCTACGTCAGTGCATAAAAGGTGACTAAATATCAGAAAATAGCCGAAATACAATAATGTCCAAATCATTAGCAAGGGATGCCTTTGACAATTGGCAAGTAAAGATTTAAGACTGGGGGGGGGTTGAAGATACCAAGGGAGCAACCAAAAACCGATGACACGTTCCATGGTCAAAATATAAAAACAGCACTAGAAACAAACGTTTTAAAACACTACACAGAGAATTAACAACCGTGTTCACGCTAAAATGTCTCTCCTGCTTAACAGATCATGATTGAATTAATGTTGAAAGTCTTAATATAAGTTTAACATTATCAATGATTCTTGTTAATGAGGTCAAGATCAGAGGAATCCTGCCAGGCTGATATTTACACCTTATAAAAATTACATACCCAAAACAAATTTAACCTATTGCTTAAATTATAGTATATATATATATATATATATATATGAGAAACAGACCTAATCACGATAACTTGATGTTGACAAATGAACCATGAAAATGAATTGAAGGTCAGATGAATCCTACCAGACGGACATGTACGCAATACAACCATTTCATTAACCATATATAGTTGACTGTTTGTCTATATTTTTTTAGAAACAGACCTAACCAAAAAAATAAACATTGACCAATAAACAAGGAAAAATGATGCCAAGCTCGGAGGAACCCTGCCATACAGGAGGGGCCTGATGGGTTATTTTCGTTCTTCGTGATCGGAGCATTTTCGCTATCGTGATCCGTTTTTCTACAGATTTTTTTTTTATATTTTCGTGATCCGTGATCATGGAAATTTATTTTCTGTGAATCGTGATTGACAAAAAAATCAACTCGTGAATCGTGATGAGACCCCCCCCCCCCATCAGGCCCCTCATACAGACATGTACACCTTGCAATCAATCTATACTCCAATCATAGTTGATATCCCTAGTATCTGAGAAACAGTTTAAACAACAAAAACTTAACATTGAGCAATGAACCATGAACATGATGCCAAGCTCAGAGGAACCGTGCCATATAATAGAAACATGTAATCCTTGCAATCAATCTATACGCAAATCATAGTTGATCTATTTCTCGTAATATCTGAGAAACTTAGATTAAACAACAAAAAATTAACATTGACCAATGAACCAAGAAAATGAAGTCAAGATCATAAGAAACCTGCAAGACTGACATGTGAACCATGCAGACAGTCACTAAGTTCCATACACCGAATATATTTGAGCTACTGATTATAGTATCTAAGAAACGGACCTAATCACGAAAATTCAAACTTGATAACTGATGCTATGAAATGAGGTCACGTAGGTCAGGGGAACCCTGTACGACTCAAATGTAGACCATAAGGTTTCCATATACCAAATATAGTTATCCTATTACTCACAACTAGTGAGAACTACACGTGACAGAAAGACTCTATAGCTGATCTAAACGATGAAAATGAGGTCAAGGACAATGGGCTTATGATAGACGGCAACTTCGTAACATAAGGTATATGTATACAAGGTATGAAACATCCAGGTCTATTACATTCTAAGATATAAAGCTTCATACAAATAGCTTATACGCCGCAGGAGCAAACAAAAACTGAACAACGAGAACCCCGCCAAATATCGTATTAACTGAGAGATTGAACTATTCAGGTAATGCTGGAATGTTGCGTTATAGTTCTGGAACGTTAACAATGGGAAAAATTGAAGTCATCTCTATGGAACATATCATAATCTCATAAACGTCTAATAATGCCTAGAGCTGCCTATGAAAATGTCAAACTTTACAAAGCACAGAAAGTATGTTTTGTTCTGGGGAAAAAGTGATATATATGTTAGGTCACAAAAGTAATTTATTGAAAGAGAGCGCAATCAAATATCTCCTGAATTATTCGACAAAGATCAAAACCCTACTTACACTTGAGTGTATATAAGTATGATCGTGTTTATATTGAATTGTATACAAAATATTTCTTTTTCACATCCTGAAAGGAATACTTATCTTTTTATTATGTCATATGATATTACCCAAGTAATAGATGTACCTTTCACCTCAATTTTTGTATATGTTTATCCTAATGTTGCTGTTAGTCCATGACAAGGATGTCAATCCAAATCCTGGTCCTCATGAATTTAATCAAATTGGTTTTTTTCTGAATGCTAGAAATGTTCGAAATGAGATATCCTGTATCTTAATATGGCATTTGTATCTGAATATAGGATCTGAATCATGAATCAGTCGTCTATCAAAGTCACATAGATTAGGGTTTAAGTTTTCATATTGGTGTTATTGCCTGAATTTTAAGTTACAAAATATGCCTTTTCGTCCAGTCTTGGGCAAGATTATAGTTTTTCAGATCTTACCAGGCCATAAAAAATAACAAAAATAGGTATACATAGGTTAGATTATAGGAAAATAAAGGAAGGCATGTGTGAAGGATATTATATTGAGCAGCTGAACATTTCCATAAATTTGGCAATTACACTTAGAATTAAATGTTTCTACTATTTATATAGCTCATCATGATCAGATCTGGCTGTTTTTGAGATCCAGAACAATTTCTGCTGTAAACACATTTTATTGTTAAATGGTTGAAAATAAAAAAAAAAAAATATCAAAACAACACGTTATAAATTTCATGCTCCCTTCATCATGAACGTTCAAAGCCGAATATTTGAAAACCAATGATGTATAAGACTGTGATCTAAAAGGTTGAAGAGCTATATGACCAAAAGGACCTAAAAATAGCCAAATCCATCTAAGGTCAACTTTGCCTGAGGGAGTTAAAACCTTATGTTTTTTGGGGGGTTATTTTATGATTTAAAAATATAAATAAAATTGACAATTGTAGAAAGGTTTGTTATAAATCATGTCAGTACCGAAGTACTGACTACTGAGCTTATGATACAATCGGGGACTGATAGTCCACCAGCAGAGGTATCGACTCAGTGCTGTAAAAAATTCGTAAGGGTTCCGCGGAACCCAGTGTCTCGCCTACTTTTGCTGTTAATCGCAGGCTCAACAAAAATGAGGAAAAAAATTAATAAAAATATTCCTCTCTATACTATCTTTTGATTGTAAGTAGCTTCTGTCCAAGTTTGGTAAAAATCCAGGATAGTTTATGAATCTAATAAATGTTTTAAAAACTTAAACTGCAGACTGTATGTAATGTTAACTGGAAGAAAAACAAAGTCCATTTATAAGTAAAAAACGGAAAAAGTGGAACAAAATTTTAACAAATTTTCCTTCTAGATACTAGCTTTTAATCATAAACAAGCTTCAGTCCAAGTTTGGTACAAATCCAGGATAGTTTAAGAAAGTTGTTAAAATTTAAAAAAACTTTAACCACAGAGTGAATGTAATGTAAACTGGCAGAAAAAGTAAGTCCATTTATAAGTTAAATAAGGAAAAAATGGATTTTTTTTACAAATTTTACTTCTGGATACTATCTTATGATCATAAACAAGCTTCTGTCCAAGTTTGGTACAAATCCAGGATAGTTTAAGAAAGTTATTAAAATTTTGAAAACTTTAACCACAGAGTGAATGTAATGTTTCCTGGCAGAAAAACTAAGTCCATATATAAGTAAAATACGGAAAAAATGGATTTTTTTTTTTACAAAATTTACTTCTGGATACTATCTTATGATCATAAACAAGCTTCTGTCCAAGTTTGGTAGAAATCCAGGATAGTTTAAGAAAGTTATTAAAATTTCAAAAACTTTAACCACAGAGTGAATATTTGTGGACGCCGCCGACGACAACGACGACGACGACGACGACGACGCCGACGGAATGTAGGATCGCTATGTCTCGCTTTTTCGACAAAAGTCGAAGGCTCGACAAAAAGAAAACAACATATAAATTTCATGCGTTCGAAGAGCTTTTCTGGATATACCTTCATCAGGAATGCTCAAAGCCAAATATCTGAAAACCGTGGCCAATGATGTACAAGAACCGAAACAGCTGAAGAGTTGTTCTTTGATTTTCTCTATTCTTTATTTATTTAGCTCTTTATTCTCTATTCTATTTATTTAGCCCTTTATTCTCTATTCTTTATTTATTTAGCCCTTTATTCTCTATTCTTTATTTATTTAGCTCTTTATTCTCTATTCTATTTATTTAGCCCTTTATTCTCTATTCTATTTATTTAGCCCTTTATTCTCTATTCTTTATTTATTTAGCTCTTTATTCTCTATTCTATTTATTTAGCTCTTTATTCTCTATTCTTTATTTATTTAGCCCTTTATTCTCTATTCTATTTATTTAGCCCTTTATTCTCTATTCTATTTATTTAGCCCTTTATTCTCTATTCTTTATTTATTTAGCTCTTTATGCTCTATTCTATTTATTTAGCTCTTTATTCTCTATTCTTTATTTATTTAGCCCTTTATTCT